CCGAACAAGATCCGGATATCCGGATTTTCACTTAAATCGAATATTTTATCTCGGATCTATCTCTATTTCGGATCTATCTCTATTTCGGATATCCGGATACCCGGATATTTATTTATCCGGACATGATCGCCAGGCCCATGGTGGGTCAGGCCTACTAATAAAGATGCCTTAATGCCTGGTCAGGCACTCATCAGGCAGCCCTGACAGGACCCTGACCGTAAATGTAAAATGTCGAGGTTTATCCATGATCCAGACAACTCGCTCTCGCATCATATCGGCTCGCCTTTTATACTAATACGATTTTTACTTACGAGGAAGACTAACGCGCGGTCGTCACGTCGCGGCAGTATGTGGTACTAGTGCTATCTATTCAGGAGGGAATCAGGGAAAAATCTGTCAGTGGCAATCTAGGACCCATGTACATTTTTCCGACTATTTTTCTCTCGGTAAAATCAAGGTAAATTTCTAGGGTGTATTCTGGACCTAAACGGATATTTGTAATTGGATTTTTCTATCCAGGCCCTGTACTTAATCTCGGCAAATTGAGGCAGATTTCTACCTGGGTTACTGTACTAAAAATTACTGAAAACCGTTTATTTCTAGTTCTGTTGCCATTTATTATCAAATTGATAACATTGTTAAGAAAAATATTAAAAATTTATTTTATATCTATGTATGTACATACACATATATACACTCGGAAAAAAAGAATATTTAGGTTAAACAAATGAAATACGTTGACATCGTATTTCTTTGAACCTACTAAATTTTTATTTACTTCTACTAAAACATCAGCTAGATGTGAAGAAATAGATATCAATTCTTTTAGAGATTTCAGTCTGAATCAAATAAAATTTTGGTCAAAGTAAAGAAATTATTTCTTTGAAATTAAATAAATGTCTAGAAAGGTTAAAATTCAAAGAAAATTTGTTTGATTTCAAAGAAACTTTCTCTGAGTCTATGTTTAATGAAAAATAATTTTCGTAGTAACATGATTTAAAACATGAATTCAGTTAAGAGAATTTAGGCATTTTTAATTTTTTTAATCAAAAATAAAAATTAATTTAATCGGATAAGTTCTCATTAATGTTTTTAATGAAAATCATGCACTTCAAAATGACTCATACATTAACATGTTCTAACATATATATATCTGTCAAGTCCAATGCAGTATATCGTGCTATATGCGACCTAGAATGGTATAAATTGGAATCTCAGAAGGCGAGAAATCTTATTTTATTAATGATACGAACCAATCATCCTTTTCACATCACTGCCGGAAAAATTATTCCATTAACAATTGCCACTTTTTGCAGCGTAAGATTATTTTGAATTTTTATATATTAGTTTTAAATTTTTGTAGCGAACATGAGCTTTTACGCAACTTATTTGTACGTATTGCGTGTATACTTCTGCATATAGTTGTAGTAATAATTTTAGTCATCACTTTTTAGGAAAATCTTATTCATTAATTCAATTGCAAATAGAAATGATAATACGTTTACTCTAACGGCCACACTATCAGTGGTATACTCGTACGTGGTATTTCAAAGTAATGACTGACGCTATATTTACTTTAAATTCTATGATATAAAGCATTCAGAAAATAATTATGTAAAAATTTCGTAATCCTTTACCTATTAGCTTGTATTTTGTGCGTAAAATAATTTAAGCTACACATTATTTTGTATTTTCGGCAAAACATTTAGTTTTACCCTTATCTATATACCCAGCGAGAAATTCCTTGTCGATCGAGGTCGAAACGATGTCGAATATAATGGTTTCGACCTCGATCGACGAGTCATTTCTGACTGGGTAGCGAAATATAATCCGTAGTTTCTCATAACAAAAGTCAGTGATCAGCTCATCTTGGATTTGTCGTACAAAGAGAAACGTTTTTTACATTTACCCTTAAAATCATGTAATTATGGACAACATTACATTTTCAAGATTTTTATGGGAGTTTTTGAAATTATACCATACATTTTATGTATACCATACTAAAATGTATGGTAAAATTACAAAAAATTTTCATAAATGTCTTCAAAATGCCATGTGGTCCAACGATTACACGATTTTCAGGGTAAATTTGAAGAGAAACTACTCTCCGTGTAAACCTTCACGTCGTACGTATATGAAGTTGGTTTATTTGTTAAAGTAGTACGAAAATGCATTTATGCAACACAAATTTCCAAGTGACGTCTTCCAAACGTTGTAGGAAGTATCTTGGAAATCTGTGCGGTTTATGCACTGACTGACTTTTAGATAGTACTTTCTCACCATTTCTCTAAATAAACATAATCGTTTTCAGATATTAAAAACATCATGCGGTTATATATCTTTTTTACTGGCAAAGCGTTGAAGATTACCATGTTGTGATGTACGTACAATAAATCGAGTTAACACATTAATAGCGAAAAGGAATATCCATTAAAACACAAAAACTACGTTGAAGTGAATTATTCACAAAATAAAATCATAATGTAAAAGTCACACAAGCACTCTATAAATTATCTAATCGTACTATACCTTGAGGTAGACCGACAATAAAACTAAAATTAAACAGGTCTACCCTATGCCATCCAAAACAAATATGGAATGCACATGATGCGGTATTTAAAGTGCAGTATTATTGGTTTGGTTATCCGTTTAGTCTGAAATCCATGTTAGTATCCATAATAGTACTTGTTAAGTCGAGGTGTTAGGTACTCATGAAGGACATGGATGTATCTGCAATAAAATAATTATGAATAGATGCAATTGTATTTAGTATTTCTTATGGTAGGAACAAACTTTTGTTTTGCTTCTTAGTATTTGCTGTCTACTGTAATTTTATTAAGTATTTTACAATACATTTTGTATACTTTATAAAGTGTAGTTTATATTCTTTTATGTTGTTTAAAATATAATCACACGAATTATATGAAGAATAAAGAATTACAAATTACGTGCTTTGATCTGCTGAATAGTTATAAGATTGCATTCACTCGTGTAACGATAGTATACCTTTAGAAAATGTAAAAGGAAAAGTCAGTACACCCCGCAATTCTTATCATTTTCTTGTCCGTAATATTTCTCTGCATTCTTGGGTTGGATATACATAGAGAATCCCACTAAAAGTGAATTAACATTTTTTTTCGATGCGAAATAAATATATAATAAAACAACGGAAAGTACGAGAGAATTTGTGAGGGAAGTTCGACAATTTTATGATATACTTTAAGGTAATATTTTCTACCTCTAGTCATATTAAAAGAGAAATAAAAGTTTTTATGGCGTATTGTACGCGTGTAAAGTTTCTTTACGATATGAGCAGTCGTAAAAACTGGGGATAGCATCATTAATATTTAATGCAGCATTTGAAGACTGCTGGGTTTTTGTTCTTCTATGGAAAGCATGCGCGTTTATTTTACATTACATGGTGAGAAGAATGAGACGTTAGTTCTCATGGATATTAAGAAATCCTCGGGTTATAGAGGTACTAATTCCGTATTACATTTTTGTCGTTTATCATATGTATTCCACATACGATAAACTGTAAATTAATACAGTATAATTTTCCATTTATAAAATTTTGATTTTTACATAATTATCTTTTTATCGCAGTATTGTTAGTTTTTGTTATGAATAATCTTCTAAATTTACATATTAATTTGTAATGATTTTATGTACAAATTCGTTAATGTTATATAAAATGTTATTAGATTTTATGTGGGCGACTGAAGTACATCGCTTTGGTTTAGAAATGTTGGGCTTGTGGCCTAAAAATACTACGTTTTCTATAAAAAGATTCTGGTCACAACTTCATGCAGGCATTATTTTAATTTTATTAGTATTTGGTAATAATGTTCCGATGATATATACGATTATGGAAGATTGGGGCGACATGGTACTTGTAATCGGTACTTTACGTTATGCTTTACCTCTATTGGTAGTATCAGTGAAATATGCCATTATGCGATCGAAACGAACAGGTATGTCCGAAATTATTTGAAACGCTTGACAGTTTATTCTTTTACAATATCGAATTTATTAATTGTGACATCATAATTAATTTATTATTACAAATATATTGTGAATGACATAGTATCACAAAGCACACAATAATAATTTATTATTTATTCTGGTATAATAATATAAATAGAGATATAAAATAATAAGTATCGAAAATTTCACGTTTTCATGTAATGTACGAGTACTCTTTGCCTATTTTCTGTAAGCAGTGCCATATATTTCGATATATTAACATACCGCTTTATTTATATTTTCAAGTTCTCTTATCGATTGTGAATATGATGGAGGAAGATTGGATAGCATTTAAATCGGATGCAGAAAGAGCAGTGATGATAAGACGAGCACGAACTGCTCGATTAATTATGATCATTGGATATTTTTTTATTGCAATCGCATTTTTCGCAGCAACTGTTCCTACTTATTTTGACATCCGAGTAATTCATGTGACGAATTTCACGAAACAGACCAAATTACCCTTTGAGGCGTATCACTTTTACAATATAAATAAGAGCCCGCAGCTTGAGTTGACCTTATTTTTGCAAAACATAACGAGTTTCTTAGCAGCTGCCACTTACATGACTGTAGATTTTTTTTTATTATTAGCTATTTTTCATATCTGCGGCCAGCTAGAGAATTTGAGATATCGGCTGATAAGTTTAGTCTCATGCAAAAATTTCGACAAAACTTTACATGACATCGTAGTATTCCATTTACGCCTTATCAAGTAAGAATTTTTATTATAATAAAATTTGTATACAGGGTGTCTGATGCAAAAGTAGCCACCTTGAAAATAGTGGTAGATTGGGTTAAACTAAGGAGAAATCTCATGTACCGCGGTACAAAGTAACAATAGTTATCGAGGAATTAATTTACACGTTTGAGCGAATGAGGATGCAGGAGACGGTAGGCCGGATTCGGAAGGCATTTAAGAAAATCGATCGATGAGCGGGAGGTGGAGCGACGCGCGAGATACACCGTGGTGGAAAAAAACCTAGGCCCGGCGGGGAGCGCGGCGCGGGCGGCGAGCGCGGCAGCGAGCGCGAGCAACGGGCGACCCGAAAC